GACGGACACGAGAGCGGTTGCATAAGCCCGCTTTAATGCTTTTTTAAAAGCAGAAGGGCGGGCTAAAAATGGATTCGAAACTTGGACCTCCCCGCAGGTAGGCCCGGAGCGGCCCAGTGTCCCCACCGTATCTCTCTACACCGTGTTCCGGTCGCAACGCCTCAGAAGCGGGGTCCCGGCCGCCCACAGTCTCCTGTCTATTATACACCGTTTTAGTCTCATGGCCGCAGGCCCGCCTGAAAGCTAATTTTGAGATCCTCCTGGAGCCCGACAGCCCAAAAAAGAAAGAGGAGTCTTGCAGCCAGTGTTAGCAAGCAGGCCTGTTATTCCGCCAAACGAAGCTGTTCTTCCGCCAAACGAAGTTGCCAGCGTCACTTCGCTTCGCAGGCAACTACGTTCGGCAGGGGCTGGGCCTGCTTGGCCTGCCGGTGGGGTTTTGTGGGGCCTACGGCCGGACCGACGGGTCACTATATGAATTTCGAGCAAACTTAGGCTTTCGGGGGGCTTGCGGCCCTTAAAATTAGCTCCTTGCACATGAGAATAGACTGTAACGGTGCGACACCGTGATTACACCCCACCCTTCTACTATGAAAATGAGTAGAAAAATAACGAGCACAGTTTTCAGCTTGTATTAATTCTCAGACAGTCTGAAAACTTGACTTTCTGCCATTGTTTTAAGTATATCGACCTCTACCTATAGAAGACACGGCAATTGTTAGTTTCGAAAAACTGGGTAACAATTCACGTCATTTTCCCCCTGATGGCGGTGGCAACCTCGTTTGGTGGAAGGGGACGGGGTCTGGGACTACGTGTAGGCTAGTGACCATGTTTTCTTACATACATGTTTTATGTTTGTTTTTTCGCACAGGGAAAGGCATAAGTATTTTCGACTACGGTTACCACAACCCAAAAATGGCGAAAAATCTCAACGGCGACGTCGCAGCCGATTTTTACGGGCACTACAAAGAGGACATTGCATTAGCAGCCAAGATGGGAGTAAGTCCGAACAAGCAGGCCCGCCCTTCCGCCAAACGAAGTTGCCAGCTTCGCTTCGCTGCGCCGGCAACTCCGTTCGGCAGGGGCCAGGCCTGCTTGGCCTGCCGGCGGCGATGGTCGGGCCTGCGGCCCGACCATTTCTGTCACACGATTTGCTGTAGAACATAATCAAATAATGTAACAGCCCTTCGGCCCGCAAAGCCCGTCGTCCTTAAAATTTGCCCCGTAGACACGAGAAAGGGATGTAACGGTAAAACACCGCGACGATGTTGATGGCTCGCGCCTTACATTCGGGTTTCTGCGAGCAGACCCAGTCGATTCTTTCTTTCTTTCTTAAATGTTTAAGATATTGGAATGCCTTGCTTACTACAATTTTTCCTCCTCTTTTTGACTCTAGAAATGTTGGTGACATGTTGAAAAGGTTGGCCGAAATGAAGTGATAGTGATAGGGGTTGCCATCCTAACGAAGGCACTTGTTCCAACAGTGGGTGAGGGGAAGCGGGGCTAGTAAGGTGTGCCAAGTGCCGGTGGGGTAACATGAACTTGGGGGAAATGAGGTGGATGAAAAATTAGTGGGCGAAAGTGTGTTGGGCATTGGTGTTTTGGGTCAAAGGCGTTGGGTGAACCGTCCTGATACCAGATTTGCTCCTTGGACATGACAAGCGACTGTAACGGGGCAACACCGTGACTACACCCCACCCTTCCGCTTTTCATAAGAATAAAAAAATTAGCCAGCGCAGACTTTTGATTGTATTGTTTGCCAAACAGTCTTAAAACTTGACTTTTTGCCATTGTTTTAAATATATCGACTTCTAGGGCAGATACAGTGAAAGATACGGCAAATCCGCGGATAGTTCCTGATTCAGAATGTGTTGTTTTAGAGCGGCCCTTCCTCTAACATTTTACGATTGGACGCCTCCTTGTACGTCTTTATGTGCAACGTGGTCATTTTCACCGTATTTTCGTCGATAAAACACTCTAGCACCCGAACGGTGCAAGATAGCGTCAAACCCATTTTAGCCCGGATAAGACTACTTTCACAAGTTACTCCTTAGAAGATGCATAAAAAAATCGTACTTTTGGAACCAAAATCTATTTCTTTGTTACCCACTTTGACCCCCTTAGGGGTCGTTGTCAGGATTTGCACCAGGCGTTTCGTTGTCCAGGAGTGACCTCTACGATACCCTGAAATTAGAGCTCTAGCTCATCTCTTTCCTCGTACACGGACGACAGACGGACGGACACGAGAGCGATTGCATAAGCCCGCTTTAATGCTTTTCGTAAAAGCAGAAGGGCGGGCTAAAATGGGTCAAAATGGCCCGTTCAGCCGTTGTTGTGTTAAGCATGTGGAAGTGTAACTTAGAGCTCATACATTTTTGACTTTGTAACAGCTGAACGTTTTTCGATTTTCAATGGCCTGGACACGGATATTTCCCACTCGAACAAATGAGACCAAGAATGAAAAGGGTATAGAGCACTATCACAACCTACTAGACGAGCTGAAGAAGTACAATATGGAGCCGATGGTGAGTTAATTACTAAAGACTACTTACATTATACCATACCCGCCCGGTTGTAGAATATACCATTTACATATACCATATACTATTACCTGTGCAATGTAAGGGTTTGCAAGAATCGAGGGGTCTCCCACTCGTCAACTCGTTGTACACTTGGCCGCGCCCAACTCGCGCCTAACTCGCGTTCAACTCGCGACAACTCGCGAAAACTCGCGAAAACTCACGATCACTCGCGAAAATTCGCGTGTAAATCGCGAAAACTCGCGCCGAAATCGCGCGAAACTCTTTAAAAATTGATTCCAACTCGCGGCCTACTCGCGGCAACTCGCCAACTCGGCAACTCGTTGTACACCTATTTTGGAAACCTCCCTCGGCAAGAATCGTCACTGCATAAAAACCACACGCCGCATCGATTTAGTATTAAAGATGTAATAAGAGCATAGATCGACGCTAATTTTGCCGTTGGTGCCATTCCGTACACTCTCCAGGAACATGCCGATCTTTGCCTTCAACTAGGACGATGGAGTCCTTCTCGATGTGCACGATTGCAGCGTAACAGATGGGTGTGCGACGGTCAAAAAAAAATGCTGGTTACTCTTGAAAGATGCCCCTATAAAAATTGACTTGGGGGTTTTGCAAATTTCGAAATGGAAGTAATCGAAAAAAAAAAATCACAATGGACAAAACAAATTTTTCAATTTTTTCGTATTTTATCTACATGATTTTGTTCGAGTAAATTCATCTCGCTATTTGCGAAAACCCCAGGTTAGAGTGTCCCATATTGTGGCCATTTTGTGGACCTCCGGGCGAAAAATTCGTTCTATTTGCCGTAAGCCAAGCGGTTTTTGAGATACATACAAATTTGGACAATTTTTGGCCCAAATTAGTTAACAGAACGCGTCTTTTTGGTCGCCTCCGTTGTCTCCACGCGTTCACATTGCTTAAAACGTGTTTTTCCGCTTGCGCGACCCCTTAATTCATCTTTAAAAGTCTGATAAAAAATTGCAGCATTCTGAATTTCAAAAGACAACTATTTAAGGGCTGGGCCGTCAATATTTTAATACTTTTGCTATATGGGACAGTCTACCCCAGGTCAACCGCTAGCGACATCTTTTTAGAGTTAGTAGCAATTGTGTTGACAGTCGCAGACTAATCCGTGCACACCGAACAGACTGCATCATCCAGTTGGAGGTGCAGATGGGTATGTTCCTGGAGAGTGCGCGCAACGGGGCCAACGGCAAAATTAGCGTCCATCTATGCTCTTAATACACATTTAATAGTAAATTGATGCGGCGTGTGGATTTTATGTAGTGACTTTTTTCCCAAACCCTTCAATTCACAGGTTTTCCCTCTTAAATACTATCGATGGAAGAAGCACGCATGCAGATTGCTCGTAATCAAGGGAGGGTTCTGTCTACAGTTCTACGCGCAGTTATTAACTGCCGCTTCAAACGCAGCGTGTCTGTTTTTGTTTCTTTTGTACAATACCAGAGTAACAGCGTAATACACGCATTACTTAACGCACTGTGAACGAAAATCCGGAGTGGAAAAGTCTTTGCACGCCACCGCTGCCCAGCTCTCCTTCCCTCTCAACCGTCTGGGACGGGGACAGACGGCGCTCAGTAAAGTCCATGATCCGGGATTTTACCGTGCCCCAGACAGCTGGTGGCTCTGCGTCGACCGTTGTAGCTACGTGGCAAGAAAGTAGTTGTCGGGAGCTTCGTGGACTGTTCGAGACAACTTTCTATTTTACGGCTAAGGCCTTTATTCCTTTTTTTGTTGTTGTTGTTAAGGTCACTCTCTTTCACTTTGACTACCCACAAACACTTGAGGACGACTTCGGCGGCTGGTTGGGTGCAGAGATGCAAGACGAGTTTGCAGCGTACTCTGATTTTCTATTCCAAGAATACGGGAGCAAGGTAAATAACAATCACTCTAACCGCTGGGGTAAGCCGAATCTAAAAAAAAAAAAAAAAAAAGTGCGGCGTATGTTCAAAATAAAAGCAGGGGTTTGTAACTAAACGCATCTTAGTTGTGCGTCAGTAGTGAAACGTAACTAGAACTTTAAATAAAAGTTAAAGTTATGGATCGTCAAAAAGCACTCTCCTTCGTGTTGGCCTCTGATTGAACAAACCGAGAAAAATATGTGCTGGGCTGGGGGTGTCGCGCATCTTTTTTGCTTCAAGGGATCCGATTTGAAGCAAACATGCAACCATATTTTTTCCTATCAAGTTAAACATTTGAACAACCTCTAGCAGTTGTGTGATGTTTCCACGACTACCGCGACAGCTGGAGAAGATCGTGTACTTGGTACTAGTATCAACTGCGCGATGAAGTTAGTACTATTTTAATTTCAATTGCAGGTAAAACACTGGCTGACAATTAACGAAGCTGCATTTTACTGCACAGCACTTGGCAGTGGGTTGCTGTTTCCAAAAACATTTACCACCCCAGCTAAACAAAATGCGTGCTTAAAAAATACGATCATCGCCCACGCCAAGGTACACAAGATCTACGAAGAAAATTACAAGCCACAATATAGGGGTGAGTTGAATTTCACAATATGCCAGAAACAGCTGCCAAGACAATATCGACGTGGGTGGCGAATGTTCGGTCACCTCGCACGTCATCCGGTCTCGAGCAAACTTTCGTTAATGCATATAATTTTGGGACATAAAATGATTGATGGTGCAATTTTCATAAAATTTATTCTACACCCTTACACACTTCTGAAACTCAAACAGTGCCAAGAAGAACAGGTAAACACCTTGCATTTAGGTACATTCTGCTTTGAAGGGTTAAAAGGGGAAAGAAGGCTAAACGATGTACCCCGATAACGCGTATTTATAACTGGGATGCCTCAAAACGGTGACACTTCCTGCAAAACAGTTCCCTGATAACCCTCAAGAATCTCAGTATCAAAACTAAAATAGGAATCGGAACGTTCCTACCCCGAATCCTTGCTGGTCAGTCTCCTCAGATTTTCTCTTGTCACGCGTTTAAATTTCACTACAACTACTGAGACACCTTTGTAAAAGCCCCTTACCTGCAAATCTTTGGTAAGCAGCCCTGATTTGCTGGTAAGCAGTAAATCCGGGATTTTCGTTTTCCACTTTCGAGCCACGAATTATTATTGGAAGGTAAGAGGTTGCTTATTTACAGCAATATAAAAACAATTCATATCATGCAAACCGGCAGAGATAGAGCCTTCTTAAAATTTTCACCCAGAGGGCCGTAAAATTGCGTGTTTAGTCAAGAAAAAAATACGCCCAAAATTGTAGTTTTCAAAACCACCTCTTATGGCAGGTTAGAATAAAACGCAAGGTAAGGTTATGAAAACGTTGAAGGAAAAAACTTAAAAAATGTTTCCAGGAGTTTTCATCCAAAATGGCGCCTGGAAAATACTATTACAACCCAAGAATCGAAAATAAGCGACATACGACCAACCCTAATGTCAGATCCACCAATGAGAGCGCTTGCGGCCACCTATCTACATTACACCTTACTCTGGACTAGCCCAATATGTTTCGCATGTCTCCCCCAAGCCTCACCGTGTATCAATATTTCATGAGACTCTCATTGAAAAAATGTCAACCAACGACAAAAAGGTGGGCCTCTACGTCACGCAGTATCATTTTTGATACACGGAAATTTGCAAGCGTGTCACAATGCGAGTTATTGAGATATCTTTGATCTGTCTTCAGCGCTGCTTACTTTCGACCTTTACCCACAAAACTTGACCACCACCATGAAAATCCGACCCCCCTTACCTACAGCTGTAGGCGCTGCAGTTAGGACCTGCATGGACCCCCTCGCAGGCAGGCCTGTTTTTGGCGCGCCACAGCAACCCACCCAAAGCACTCATGGGGTCGTGAGTGGCATGAATAGAGTCGTCTGGACTTTATCAAATGTATCCATGTCAAAAAAGCGATGTACCTCACAAGTATGCGGCTCCAGACTGTTTTTTGGGAGGTGAATCAAATTTGATACTCCGTGACGTAAAGGGTTAATAACCACAATTTTTTCCATATTTGCGTCGGAAACGACGACCTCGAGGGTCCAAACGGTGGAAGATAGAGCAAAATTGAGAAAATAGAGAAAATTGAAGTCAAAGTATACGTTTTCTTTGGTGCAAGCACATCAAAACCAACAGGGTATTACGGGTAAGCTCGGCGCCGGAAATGGGAGGCGAAGATAGCGCTGGTCCGCTCTGAGCCTCATGGTTTCTGTATCCGCGCGTCTGCTGTCCATTGCTCTGTCGCATTTGTTGTCTACGTCATCTTGCTTCATATTATAGTACGATTACGTGTTCTTATGCAGGCGAAACTATTGTTTTATTCTAAAAATCAAGATTGAAATCCAGACCCTCCATCTAACCTAACGCCACCGTGACAGCAGACGGCCGGATCTAGAAGCCGCGAGACTAAGATTCGACAAGCGCTATCCTCGCCTCTCGTTTCCGGCACTTCGCTTGTCCGGAATACCCTATTCAACCAGCTTGTGATATACATTTCTAGAGGCCAAAAACTTAGTTCTTTGCAGCGAACAGTTAAAAGGAGCGCCAGCGCAGCGATTTGTCACTATGTGCCCCTCACTCTTAAAAAGAAGAAAAACAGCGCAAAATTTTGTAACATTGATATGAAGTTTTTTCAGTAACAAGATTAAAAAATTTTGTAACATATGAGGTTACAAATTTTCTTAACTGCGGATTACAATTATTTGCCTCCTGGTTGCCAAATTTTGTAACATGAGATGTTACAAATTTTCGTAACGTCGCATTACAAATTTTTCTTTTCTGATTACAAAATTTTGTAACATTTTGTGCTGTGGTGTGCAGTTGACGACACCCAGAAATTAGTAGTATTTTCTCATTGCCCTCCCGGAAGGGTCATATCAGTTAGCCAATGCCTCTTCAACAGAAGTGCATACTGAATTACCTGAGAACTTTTGCCTTTGAGTATTGCCACAACCGGTTTCAGCAAAATTGATTTGCCCAATTTAGCCTTTTCCTCGGGACAGTGAATGTTCGTAAGGAGGACGGGAACAATCAGTGGCACTAAATCACCGATTCAAAAATGCAGGACCGTGTAGAAACCGCTACAAATTTCCATGACAATTGTTGTACTTTTACGGGTCACGTTTGTAATTTTTAAACACGTAAATGTTGTAATTGGCTATTATAAAAAAGGCTTAAGATTCTAATACTTACTCATCGTTTCGGGAAACGTGCGGAAGGTCCCCTCACCGGAAGGTCCGGGTTGATGCGGGAGGTCCCCCCTCCTTGAGGTCCCCCCCTGAATA